GGGGGTGGGTGGGGTTATTTCTTGACAATTTTTTATTCACAGTGAGTCCCACACATGAGAGTAACCTGGCCAAATTCTGTGGAAAAATTTCTGTACAAATGGCATTCTCCCTTGAAATAATATAAAGAATACATATGAAACTACCTTGTCTAGAAGCTTAATCTATTAGACTTTAATTTGGAACCTTCGTGTGCTTTGATATCATGTTATACCATGTAGGATTAATCTGATAGATAGGGGCAACTTTTTTTTATTCAAGTTGTCTTCAACAATGCTCATCCAGGTCATGTCTGTCCAAAGTTCTTGCAGTGCCTTAAAAATTTCCTAATCTCCTTTAACAAGTTATAGGATTGTCTTTATTCTACTTTCTATAGTCTGTACTTGCAGTTTGAGGAAAAATATAAATAAATCATTTTATCATTTTTGTACCATATGTCATCTATTGCTTGTTACTTGTAACCATTTTGTTTAGTTGCTTCTTGTAACAACCTGGTCTTCGTGTCCAAGTCGTTACATCATACGTATTGTTCCCTTTGGGAGAGTATCTATCCTCTTAATTCCTCATGGATTTCTATTATGTCCCCCAAGATTTCTGCCTTATGAGAGACTTATTGCCTAGTTGGTAATAGGATTCAATTTAAGTCTCTTGTAAGGCAGAGACCTTGGGTTCAAGTTTTGGGGGAAGCGATATAAATTCGTTAGGCATTAAGAGGGCAGCAACTTTGGCATGTGTCAAAGTCGTTTTATCATACAAATTGTTCGCTTTGGGAGATCTTGGGTTCAAATTTTGGGGGGACAAGATATAAATTCATTAGGGAATAAGAGTGTAGCAACTTAAACATGTGTCCAAGTCATTGTATCATACGTACTGTTCGTTTTGGAAGAGTTTGATCCCATCTTACGTTCACAAATTTATATACCTAGGATTCGAACCTATAGTATGTCCCTTACGAGGGATTGAAGTTGAATCTTGATACCAATTAAGCGAGTTGGCCAATTGGTACTAAGATTTTATTCAAGTCTTTCATAAGGCAGAAGTCTTGGCTCGAATCTTTTAATATGCGATAGAAATCAGCGAGAGGTAAGATCAGCTTAGGCATTTCCAAAACAAATAATATGTAAGAGAATAGCTTGGGCACTAGGTTTGGGTCGTTACAAAAAATGCTCATCCCGGACCTCGTGCACAAGTCGTTATATTATATGTATTGTCCGTTTTAAGATGGCATCTATCCTCCTATCCATCATGACTTTGTGTTGCGTCCCCCAGGATTGGAATCCAAGATCTTTGTCTAATGGGTGACTTAAGTTAAATTTTGATATTAGCGATTTGAGCACGAGGCTTGGGTCATTACACTTGTAACTAAGAGCTCGTTTGAGCTGCTTTTTTATTGAAAAATACATTTTGAAATAGTAAATTGATGGAGAATGTGTGTTTAAAGAATAAAGAAAAGTTTTAGGTTTGCGTGTAATATTATTTTATTGAAGAATGTGTGATTGAAAAGGAGAGAGAAAAATGTATTTTGAAAATAATGGGAATCAAACAAGGGCTTAGTGTACGAGTTAAATAAATAAAATTAGTTTTCCTTCTGTTATGATGAAATTTCAAAATCTTTTAATACCCTTTGTGGATGTGTATCCTCTGTGTGTGAACTTCGGTTTTGCTTCATTTTTAATTTTTGCATTTTTTTTCCCATTTAATGCTGACAAGGCCTTTTACTTTCAGGTTGCTTGAAGATATAACCTTTGTTTGGCCCCATTTTTGGGGAAAATGGGTTTTATAATAGTTTTTCCCCCCCCCCCCCCCCCCCCCCCCTTCCTCTGAAGAATTTGTGATTAAAATATATGGAAAAGTTTTGGGTTTATATGTAAAATTATTTTATTGAGAGAATGCTTAATTGGAAATGAGTTTTTGAAAAAAAATGAATTTTTAGAGAATGAAGATCAAATAGTGGCATAGTATAATACATGAGTAAATTGTGAGAAAGGGGTTTTAATTTACAATACTATGTTGTACACTCCATGGACAATCTTTCATAAAGTATAAGTAAACATGCTATTGCTATCTTTTTATTAACTGTACTTTAGTTCATAAAAATACAAAGCTGCGAGCTAGGAAGAGAGTTTATTTTCCCGTAACAGCAATCCCAGTGCATTGTATTTGGAACTTCTGAAATTTTCTTCACCTAAAATATAACTTCAAGCATCATTTTGGAGATGGTTTATATGGAGGTAATAACATTTACATTCAGTATTTTTAGTATCCTAAGTTTTTTCTTTAGTTTCATCACTCTACAGACACGTGAGATTGCTCCATGTGTAGGGATTTTAGTGCTGAACCTGGACGTCAGCATTTGTAGGATTCATTCATTGGCATTGTGCTGAACCTGCATGTCAGCATTTGTAGGATTCATTCATTGGCATTGTGCTGAACCTGCATGTCAGCATTTGTAGGATTCATTCATTGGCATTGTGCTGAACCTGCATGTCAGCATTTGTAGGATTCATTCATTGGCATTGTGCTGAACCTGCATGTCAGCATTTGTAGGATTCATTCATTGGCATTGTGCACAATTCCAATTCAGTGGCATGTTTGGTAAACGGGATTATTATAGGAGATAAGCTAAAATCTTTACAATTGTACTACGACTCCATAGGATTATTATTCTTGATAGCTTGCCTAGTCTTATGTGACATATTGAGAATTTTGGTTAGGAATATTTATCTATTGGGGACCATTGTCATCAATGGATTTTAATCTGTTAATCTTGTTTTCCCTTGCTAGATCTGACTTGGGTTGATGGAGGTTGAATTTTTAGTTACTTTTACGGTTCATCGTGTAATAACTCTTATTTCTACAGGTGGCTGAGAGGGCTTTGTTTTTATGGAACAACGACCATATCGAGAACCTAATCAAACAAAACCGTAAAGTTATACTACCAATTATCTTTCCTGCCCTGGAGAAGAATGCAACCAACCACTGGAACCAGGCAGTGCGGAGCTTGACGCTAAATGTTCGGAAAATCTTCTCTGATGTCGATCCTGAGCTGTTTGAGGAGTGCTTGCTCAAGTTCCAAGAAGACGAAGAGAGAGAAAAAGAAATGGAGATTAAGCGTGAAGCAACATGGAGGCGCTTGGAAGAAATTGCTGCAGTGAAAGCTGCCAGCAACGAACCAGTTCTCGTCCCTAGCAAATTTAATACCAACAAACCATCTGGTTAGAAACTATGGATGTTCCAACATTTTCTTATGCTTCCCGATTTTTGGTCCATCAGTTCGTGAAGGGTGAAGGACTCTGCTGTATGAGGAATGGAGCGATCGATCTTTGATATAGAAAAGAGTACTGTAAATATAGAATTGGTGGGAAACAAGAAGAGGTTTTAGGGTCTGCAATGAAGCAAATTTGTTTAGTGCTATTGGCCGTTTTTTACTGAATGATGATGTTGAAATTAAGATTTCCATTTTGCAAGTATCTATTTACATAAATCTTGAACTTGGTGTTTCATTTGTATACTCTGTTACTTGATTATAGATAGTGTTTAGTTTCATAATGTATTATACCTTGTACATACTTTGTTTAGTATGCTCGATGTTAGACAGTAGATATTCTTAAAAAATTCTCGATCCATCCATTCCGACAGCATAAAGAAAAAGAACAATATCGTATTTCTTATGTTACCTGATAAAATTTTCCTCCATATTTAAGCAATAATTATGATGTCTACTTTTAATTTCTATGATAACCTGCCAACCAATCCACCTAGCAACCAGCTTCATCTCCATTCTCCCACATACGGAGATTCCCTCTCCCTCTCCCTCTCCCTCTCCCTCTCCCTCTCCAACACCCTAATTTTTCACTTTTTTCAGAGGTATACATCGCGACTTTCTCGATATTTCTCCTCCAATCAAACGAAATTGTATCAGTTCACTCAACACGCTACAGCCGACTACACCGGATTCAATCACACGCACTTTTTATGTTTATTATGGGTAAGAACAAACAAAAATGACTGCGCAGACGTTTTAGCACGTCAATTTTTTCCCAAAATCGAAACCAAAAAATCCATAATTATCTCATGCAAATAAATATTTAAACCCCTATATTGTGATCATCTTTACTCTCTAAGAGGAGAGCCGTATATATAAACACAGAGAAACGGGGGGAAGGGGGTAGCCCTTTTGTGTGTGTATATAGATATTTAATTGATTTTTTATGTTTATCGGAAATGCCGAGCATTGGTGTGAAATTATACAGTGTTTTCTTTAAATTCATGCTAAAGCATCGGTTGCAAAGCCGATTACAGGCGCCGGAAAACGACACCGGCGGCGGTGGAGGGAGCTCCTTCGGAGTAACGTCACGGCCGGAAGAGGAGACGGCCGCTGCCGCGAATCCCTCGTTTACTGATGCCGTTGCCACAAAGGATATCCACATCGATCCTGTAACGTCTTTGTCAATCCGAATTTTTCTTCCGGATACCTGCTTCAATTCGCCCGAAGCGGTCTCCAGGTCTCGGTCGACTGTCGTGAATTCTGGATCCGATCCGAACCAAATCCTGATCCGCCGCAACAGCTATGGGTCGTCGGATAGCTCTGTTTCCAGCAGCAACGGTGTAATTGTGAAGCGTGCGCAGAATCATGATAATTTTAGGAGGAATAGCTACGGCTGTAGTATTGATGATGGGAGTTTGAAACCGGAGAATGGAATTTACAGAGGGTATAATCCGATGGGGAATAATTGTCGAAAACTGCCGGTGATGCTGCAGTTCCACGGTGGAGGATTTGTGAGTGGGAGCAACGATTCAGTGGCTAATGATTTTTTCTGTCGACGGATTGCAAAGTTGTGTGATGTGATCGTGTTGGCCGTGGGGTATAGATTGGCACCAGAGAATAAATACCCCGCAGCATTTGAAGATGGGTTGAAGGTGTTGCATTGGCTGGCAAAGCAGGCCAATTTGGCCGAATGTAGTAAATCCTTGGGAAGTACCTTGGGTGGGGGGCCAGATATGAGGAAGGCTGATGGTCATTGGCATATTGCCGATGCCTTTGGAGCTTCAATGTTGGAGCCTTGGTTGGCTGCTCATGGAGATCCATCAAGGTCAGGTTTGAATCCATGGGGTTTTTCATATGGTTATTACTTATTATTGTTACCATATTTGATACTATAAATGAGCTTATTAGGAATTTCTAGGGAGTTAGTACTAAGTTGCAAGTGGTAAAAATTCTAGTCTTCACTTGGTTTCCTTTTGAATGAATAAAATTGACTGATGTAATTGGCAACCATAAATTTGAAATATAATAACAGAAGAATATGAATTTGACTTATTGGGTTGCTTAAGTAGCTATAGTATGGGAAAAGGGTTGAAAACTAATCGAATGCATAGTTTACATTTGGTTAAGAGTTACTGTGTGGCAGAATGATCGATCTGTCTAGCTCAAGTTTAAGATGAAGAAGCTGAACAACTGATTATTCTTTATGCTGGAGTTTCTACTTTTATTCTTGTGGTTGTTAGTTTTTCTATCATAACATCAAATAGAAACCATCAAATGTTTAAGAAAGATTTGCAGGATGCAAACTCATGAATTTTATCCAAAACTTCAATCTTTTGGGAGTTGTATATGCTTGACTGCTATGCTTAGGTGTAATATATTATCTGCTTCTCTCTGTTTTTTTTTGGTTGGTTACAGTGAATCGCCTGCAACTTGTTGATATTTTTGTCTGTTGACTACGATCCAGAGAACAGAATCGACCTTTTGATTGATTCTTGTTT